ATTAAGCTGTAAAAGGATTCATACACCGCTAGTTGGCAGTGTTGTGAATATGTTGTACATGAATTGTTGCCAGCTAGTAAGTGTCAAATTGAACTTGTGCTTTAAAATTAGCTTCTACTAGTTTTTCTATGGCATAAGTGCTTTTGAAGTTGTGGACCTAAATATTTTTATWAGCGCTTTAGAAATTGCGGAGCTAATTTTTGGATTAATCACTGTGTGACACTATCGAGCCTTGTTGGCTGGTGGGACTCTGGAGACAACTGAGGAGTGAGATGGGGGTCTCTGCAATCACAGGTAGGGCCATTTCCACCCACAGCACAACATTTACTGCAGAGCCGACAGGCTCCGCCCATTGGAAGTTGCTCAGCCAGGAGGAGTAGTGGTCGGTGGTCTCAGGACTCCATCTCTGTTTTTTGCAGATGATGTGGTTCTGTTGGTGTCATCACTCCGTGATCCTCAGCTCTCACTGGAGCGGTTCACAGGAGGATCAGCACCTCCAAACCTGAGTCCATGGTCCTCAATCAGTGAGGGGTGGATTGCTCTCTCCAGYTTGGCGGTGAGGTTCTGCCTCAAGTGGAGGTGTTCAGGTATCTTGGGGTTTTGTTTTCGAGTGAAGGAAMAATGGATTGTGAGACTGACAGACGGATTGGAGCAGCTTCTGCAGTATTGTGGACTCTGAACTGTCASTTTCTTCATGTGACCGAGACCAGGTGGAGGACTGTTGTCCAGCAGGTTTTCTACAGGCAGGAATGAAGCAGGGCARGGTGCCAGCACAGCTCACGGTTTCAGTGACTCACATCCAGCAAGAAGAACAAGACTGTCATTTTTTAAATGCTGACGAAGAAACACTGACAGGAAGGAAACAGAAACACTGCAGCTGATGGAAACAGACAGCAGGAAGAAATCCTCCACTTCCRTCTCCTGTCCATCTGCAGCAGACACTGAGTCTCCAGTCCACCACAGGGACACCTGAAGACAAAAAACCATTCACCCTGTCACCCAGGGATCATTTAGAGCTCCTAATGGACCTGACATGTTTGTGTCAGTGAGAGAAAACCCACATGTGCARGGAGAGAACATGACAGACCCCAGAGCAGGAGACTATCCTCTAACTGAGAGGTGACAGCTCTAACCACTGTACCACCATGTCACCTGAGGAGGAAGCTAGGAAATAATACAGAAAGAAATAGGTCCTAAATACATATGAATACAGTGAAATAAGACAGCAAAATCAGAATAAAATAAAGAAAAAAAGAATCTTCAGTCTTGGTATCGCAACTCTAATAATCATGTTGGTTCAGAACTAAAGCATTAAAGTTTTCTAAAGCATAGTAAATAAATAAGATGAGTCAAAATGAGTCGTTTTTTGTTCCTCTCTCGGAGGAGTAAGACACTTCTTCCTTCTCTCCTGCCCTTCCTTATCTTCCCTGCTTTGCTGCTGGAGCCTTCTCTACATTTTTCATCCGAAACCTGAAATTATGGATATTTTTATTTTTATGGATTTGGTTAGCTGGTCTCTCAATAAAATTTTTGGAACAAAGTTTTTTGTTCTTCCATGGGAGGACATGTCAAATGTGGGACCTCTGTTATCTGTTCTGGATATATATCTG